GATATATGCTTTTAATAAATAGTTCAAATAATATTGCATTAGAAAAAGGACACTGATCAAAGTACAGAAAGCCCCTGACGCCCCACCCTCCAGGAATAGGGGACGCTGCGTGGCCTCCATTCCAGCCACCTTTCCCTGCTTAGACACAGACAGAAGGCAAGCAGCATGCTTCCAACAGGACAGGGCCACAGATAGATGCCACATTAAATTCATTAGTGGCGACTTCGCTTTTGGTTGAGTGCTTAATCCAATCTCTTCAATCTTCCACCGCTCCAATCGGCTTCACCCCCGGGCGCTGCAGAGGCACGCCAAGTCCCACCACACACCTCTCCTTCACCACTGTCCTCTTCACCCTCAGGTCCCCCACACCCCTCTTCCCACTCTATTTCCTGTCCCTGTGCTGTCCTCCCCCCATACCCTGTCACCCTTCCTGGGACCACTCCAGCTACCTGCTCTGGGAGCTGTCTCCTTACTTTTTTGCTGCCCCTCACGCATGCACACGTGCACGCACACACAGTGGAAAGCACGTGCGGACAGGTGCTCACTCAGCAAATGTCGGATGCTCACCCATGGGGTGGGCTCCTGCCGAGTGGAGAAGGAAGCCTGTTTCCTCAGGCTGGAACTGCCAGCATATGCACTCTTGCCCTTCAGACGCCCTCTTCTTCTAAAAACAGCTGACACTTTCTATAACAAGTTTCTATTAAAAAAAAAAAAATCCAAGCTGGAACTAACCCGTAGAAGGTGCCAGACTTTGTGGGCCTGGCCACAACCGCCCCCGTGTGGGCAGCGGGGGAGGGGCCTGCCACTCCGCTGGACAGAGCAGAGCCCTTGGGGAGGCAAAAGGCTCCAGGGCCTGACCCAAGGGGCTGCGGAGGCGAGTCCCATGCTGGCTACTCTGCTGCACGGACAAAGCCAGCAACACCCCATGACAGCAACAGAGGTGGCCCAGGGGTGTCGCCCCATCCTCCCTTTCACACTTGGATTCTTCCAACGCAGGGAAGAAACACTGAGTAAGTATGTGCTAATTTGACTTAACTGAGGGGTCGCAGTCGCTGCTGTGAACTCCTCTTCATGGAGACATCAGTGGGAGGCCCAGCTGGGCGGGGCAGGATGGAGCGGAACTCAGCCGGCCCTACAGCTATGCTTGGAAAGGCCGCTGGACACTGGGGTTCAGTTTCCACGGTCAAGACCCTCCTGGGGACTCTCTCCTGCTGCGAGCCTCCGGCCACCCTAATGTCTTAGTTACATATTCCAGAGTAACCGCTAAGTGTTGAGCTTAGTTCTCAATTAATAAGCAACAATGCTCAGGAAAGACAGTGGCTTTGGGACCTAGAAAACGGCAACTGAAAGAGAAAGCTCAGCTTCCAAGGTGAAGCCAGAGCAAGGGTGAGCTAAGCAAGGGGTGGCCAGGGACCTACTCGGGTGCCAGGGGAACGGAGGAGTCACCAAGTTTCCAGCCGTGTGATCGCTGCTATGATGAGGAAAGGAAGACGCCAGGCGGGAGCCTGGACAGCCTGCCAGGAAGACTGAGGGGCTGAAGCAGCTGACGCCCCTTCTCCCCACTCTCTGCCCAGGCCCCACCTGCACTGGTGGTCCCCAGGGACTAAGAACCCACAGCCCCCGCAGCACTTCCTTGGGGCCATGACAGTTGGTTGCTGGGGTTGCCTCTCCCTCTAGAGAGCAAACCTGGGCTGGAGAGGCGTCCTGGTGCCACCTAACAGCATGACGTATTTCCCGCCTTGCACCTGCTCCACACCCCCTTCCTTCCATCCCAGGGCACACTGAGGACAATGCACTGTCACCAGTCGTGGGGTACACTTAGCACAGTGTCTTCCCACAGAAAAGCCCAAGTGCCTGCTATCATGATGATTTGTTTTTTATTGCTGTTGTTATTATCATCCCAACAGGCATCAAACAAAGTCTTGGCAATGTGTGACAAAGCCCAGCAGTCCTAGAAGACACCCTTGGGAAGTCCCCCACAGAGAACAAAGGCTCCAGTCATGCATAAAATAGACTAGATGATGGGGAGAGAAGAGCAGGAGAGAAAACTCAATGAAACCCAAAGCTGGGTCTCTGAAATTGTAACACCCATAAACTTCTAGCAAGAGAGGCAAAGGGGAAGAGAGAAGACACAACTCGCCAACATCTAAAAGAAAAAGGGATGTCACTACAGAACCTGCAGACATCAAAAGGATACGGGAATGCTTGAGACAACTCTTTGTGCATAAAATCAACAACTAGATCAAATGGACGGATTCCAGGCCAGGAGTGGTGGCTCTCAGCTGTAA